TGGACTTAAATATTTTTCTCTATCATATGTCCCCCATTAGTGCTTTTGAGGGTTCTCTTAAAGTTGTCACAAAGTGCTGGCTCTTCCAAGTTGTTTGTTCTATTAGAGCCTTTGAGAACAAGTCCAGCACCACCTCCATCTGAGGTGGTAGAATCATCGATGAATAGTATCTAAACAGTTGAATCATCATTTACATACGATAATTTTGTAAGGTGATCTTTCTAACTTCTTAAACGTAGCCTAATACTCCTCGGTCCATTGGAAATATGTTGGAAAAAAAAGATAGACACATTTCGTCGATTTGAGATAAGAATCAACTAAGCACTAGTCAACATATTAACTATTAAACCTTTTTTATCGATCGAGATAGGTTATACATATTCCTCTTTGATGCATGATGAACCCAAAGAATCTCCTTGAATTGACTTCAAAGATGCACTTGATTGGATTAAGACATATTTTAATTTTTTAAAAAAATTGAAAAAATCTTGACTAAATTCATTAGATGCGAGTCAGCCATGTTGCTCTCCACTATCATGTCATTTACATAAATTTTCATATTTCTTTCAATATGATGTTTGAATATTTTGTTCTATCTGATATGGGAAAGACCAACTAGCCATCACCCACTACACAAGCACCATATCAAGATCGTTTTTCTCTTACCCATAAAGGATGGGGTCTAAATGCGGCTTAAGTCAATCTCCAAAGTGTTGAGCTACCGGGACACCTCCTAACATGACCAAAGATAGATCAAATCGATTATAAGCTAGCTCTCCTATAGAATATCTATAGGAATATTTTGAGAAGATCAAGAGACAATCCAAAAAAATATTTTGAAAATATTAATAGATAGTTCGGATTGATTACCATCAGCTACCAATATATCCTTAGAAGATCAAGGGGTTATTTGGATCGATTGTAAACTTTCTCTCCATGATCCCTCTGACGCTCAAGTTAGTAACCAAAGTCTCTTAGTGGGTGTGGGTTTTTCTTCGAAAGAAAACCCTCCGGCATGGCATTAGAAATTAACTTTTATACCTAACTTTGGAGGAAATAATCTCTAATTGCTCCAACGTCTTTCTCTTAGTGTTTTGTTCATGTGAGCAACAAGAGGAGATAATCCCAAATGATATGCTTTGGACTTTTGTCCACCCAAATAAATAGGTAGAGGGTGACCTCGACTTTTTTCTTCCATAATAATTTTCACATGATGATTATCTATCTAATGATGATTAACCATTAATATATTTTTTTATCATGTTTGAAAAGTATAAAAGCTTATACGTCCATAATTTACAAACAAACACAAGATATAATATATATCAAGATATCAGTAATTACTCGAGACTTTTGGTTGCTCAATATATTCTCCATATATATTTACTAGATAGATAAATATAAAATTACTTTTCATGTAATGAATGCATCTAGTGATATTATTATGTAAATAAGAAGGATACAT